GGAGCCTTAGTTGGAATTTAGCAGAGGTAGGGAGGAAGCTGTGAATACGGTCCACTCCCCTGCCTGGATAAGCTTCTCTGCAAACCTGTTTCCCTCTAATAAAACCTCGAAAGGTCAGAGAGGGAAAAGGTTTTTGGATAAAGAGAGGATAGAAAGAATCGATTACAGGAGTAGAGAATATGAGAAGTAGAGAGAGAAAAGATTTAGAAGAATGAGTAGTAGTAATAACCTTATTTTTCAATATAATTTTTAGGATTTAAGTGAAGGCCAGAGAGAAGAAGTGAGTTTTAAGTGTTGATTTAAAAACCCCTAGGGTCTGGGCCGACCTCACATGGAGGGGCAGAGTGTTCCAGAGCCTGGGGCCCGCTGCTGCGAATGCTCGGTGCCCTCGGGTTTTAAGCCTAGTCTTGGGCACTACCAGACAAAACCAACATTGTGTATCATAAGAGGACGCTAGGAAAGGTTCACAAATATAAAACTTCCATGGATTGAGCTTGTTGCATTTTCAATTTTACAGATGACCTTTGGGAAAAATGCTCTTTGGGGGATTTGTTCTTTACACTCTGTCATGATCCTGGTGTTGTGTCACAATGTTGGTTTTGTCTGTCTTGTGGTGGGTTTTATTTTGCTGTTCTGTTCTCCCTGGGTGTTTCTCAATCGCGAGTACGCTTGCTTGGTAGCACATGTCTGCCGAGCATCTTGCTTCAGAAGCGAGGCAAGAATACATCCTGCCATTCGGAAAACAAAGATTGGAACAGGCTAGCAAGTGTGCAGGTGTGCGTCATATGAGAGGCCCCGCCTTACATCTTCCGCCACAGATTTGGGGAAATTGGTCCGTGCGCAAAGCATTGTGGGGATTTTAAGACCGCGGAGTCTACTCATGTGCAGCCTCGATATTTCTCCAAACGGAGTACGCCGGGCTCGGTAGATTTCCAAGTATGCTGGAGATTGGAACAGTACTTCGGCGGCACTCGATGACGTAGTATGCTTGAAATAGTGGCTTTGAAGCAGCTTTACTCGCGATTGAGAAACACCCCCTGTCTCTTGTCTTCCTTCCTTTGTTTTTCCTCCTGTGTCTGATTGTCTGATTGTGTTCACCTGTTGCCCTTGTGTTTCTGCCTCCCTTACCCAGCTGTGTCTTGTCCTGTGATTACCCCTCTTTGTATTTAGGCTTGTCTTCCCCTGTGTGCCTTGTCGGTTCATCCATGTTGGTCACGATCGTTTTGGTATTGTATCTTCCTCGTGTTACCTATGTGTTTCATGCCATGTTTTTATGTTAATCAGCTTTTTTTTATTAAAGCATCGCTTTTGTTTTGAAACCCGCTTCCCTTTTAATCTGCATTTGGGTCCTACCTTTTGCCGAACCTTAACACACATGGGCACTGAGGCACCTTTAGACCTATCCAGCCCTCCTAATACATCCATGTGCAGGGCATGTTAGAGTCTTCTAATCGCCACAAGGTTGCCAGGCAACCAGCAGCAAACTGACATGTTAATTAGTAAGCTTTAGAGGTGTTAGTATGGGTGTATTTCTGAACAGAGAGCCAGGCTGTTTCCCCTGTATCTAATCTTCTTGCTTTATTGAGCAGCTTCTCATGACACTCTCAGCAGGAAAGGAAATATTTCCCAACTAGACCTCTTTCGCAGCGGCCATTATGACATATAATTGCAGGGTAAACACAGGTGTAATCAATAACTTTAATGGCCCTGGTATTGTGCATAAGGGCTCACTGTAATAGCTGTGACACTAAATCGAATGAGACCCTAATTAATCGTATCAATTCCACCTGTGTTTACCCTGCAAAGAAGCTGCTTTAAAAAGGGCATGTGGGAGATATTACTTTAACAAGCGATCTGGACACACACAGATGCCTACTTGCCGTTTAAATGTAACTATAGCATGAGTCTACAGTGTTAACATGCTGATGTGGTGCTGTTAAATGTTTACTACGTTAACCATCTTATCTTAACATACGGCCATCTGCTAGTTAGCACCAAACAAATCACAGCTGAGGCTGATGAAAATGTCATTTGTTTGGTATCAGGGCCCAATTCACATAATTGGAGACTGACGTGGTGATGTCACTCAATCAAATGTTATTAGAATTTAAGGCATTTAGCTGGGAAGTTGCAGATTGCAACCACCCCCCTTTCCAAGTGTTTCCAAGAACTGCAATGTTCTTTCCCGGAATGTGAAAAGTGGAAATAAAAACAAGAGGAATCTTATGGTTTGTCCATTCTTGGCTACCGTAGAAGTATCACTCTGCAACATGCCTAACTCCTTGAAAGTTAACCCACTCTCTAAGTAGGTAGTAAGGGCTAACATAAACACAACAATTCTACGTTTTAGGTGGTAAAACAAAAGAAAACCTGTGTATATTATTTTACACTAAAAAAGAAATACTCCTTAACCCTAGAAGTTAGCTAGAAGATCATCCAAGTTACCCTACAATTCATTCTGAAGGGGACATGAATGTCATATCAATCTTTCAGCAGTTATTGGGACATTTCATTAAAAACTCAAAATGTCAACATATCTGGTGGAGCTTTTTGAAAAGACAGGGTCATTAGGGTTCATCTTAAGAGCACCACAACGTCTCTGGGAAAATTCATAGCCAAACATTTCTCACTTACATTTTTTATAAATGAGACTGAGATGAGATTTAATGTATTCCTTTTGCAGTTTGACTGAGAACATAAGAACACTATCAATAAATCAAATAAATAATAAATCAATAAAGTACTATCTATCTAACCCTTAAACTATAAAACAGGCAGTTTTATAAGACATTCAGCTTTGCATCAGAATCCAGCGGAGGTTAATTCAAGGCACGACTAAACAAAACAAGAAATGAGAGTCATGTCACAGTAACCATAGTAACAAAGCAGTGACAGCTATTATACCTCTCGTTATAACCTCCTGTTACTACGCATGCAAAGAAGCACAGGTAAACTCAGACTTACGTATTTCTTTTTGCATTTATTAATTTCTCACACATGTTCAAACACGCTGTGCTATCTCCTCTCATACACACTGAGCTGTGCAAGGGGTACAGGAATATGGTGTTTGAGTGACAACCATGACCTTTACAAGTCGGTTTACTGCGAGCTGCCCTTGTGTGAACTCAGTGTTCTCGCTAAGGATGACTCACACTGAAGATCAAACCCCCCCTAACTTTGTGCCCGTACACTCGCTCTAGCTGTCTGTCACGCTCTCTCTTTTTCTTAATCTCAATACCTTCGGCCACTTCAGCCTCTCTTCTTACAGCATGTCATTCTCCCTCACTCACTTTCTCTCCTGCGCACCTTCATCTCCCCTAAGAGACTGAACGCTCTGTTCCACGTTTCGAAGAATACTCCTCAAATCATGATTGAATCTGCTCTTGACTCGTGCAGAGCACAGTTAGGGGGTGTCACTCACCCTTCAGTTGGTGTGAACAGCTGGTTTTATGTCTAAGAAACATGTCACTCGCTCAAAGCTCCCACAATAAAAATAATTACCTAAAGATGAAGGTCTTTGTCAGTGAAAATAGATGTATATTCCCTGTGCAGTTCAACCATGAGAATAGATATGAAGAGGCATAATTCATGTCTGTATGAACTCATTGCTTTGCTTCAGATAGATTTAAGGGCTTTTTCACAATGTATTATTCTTAGCTCCTAGCTCCTCAGTGCTGTTTGAAAACCCCTAATGTGTTTCCAATATATTTTTTAATTTAGCTCCTGTTTAACTGACCAAAATCTCTGGTTACATATAAAGCAATACTTCGTATACATTACTGTATAATACTTGTATTTTCGATACAAATGTTGCTATCTGGGTATCCATTCACATCTAACTTACACACTATATAACAAGAATACATCCTATTCCTTTCCTGGTCATTTCTGTGTTTTCTACTATAGCTGTTATTTCAACAGTATTGGCCAACATCTATTTCCCCCGTGAACATCCATGACAGCGATGGATGTGGTTGCTGGGTGATATCTGACCCGAAGCCTCTCTGACAGTGTTGAGACTGAATATCAAGAGATAGCGCAAACAAAAGAGACAGCTGTATCCATCCCAAGGACTGTTTGGAAATAAACCATCAAGGACAATGCTTCGTCAAACAGGAATGCAAAGCAAACTGTACAATCTATAATGAATTACGTGATTAAAGGTGCTTTTAATTAGCTTCCACTGTAAAAATAATTATCCAAAAAGGAGAAGCAGCCTTGTGTTCCCCTAATTTCCAAACCATTGTTACTTTATCTCAAAGAGTCTGACAGGGATTCAGAGACTCATTTTTGGAAACATTTTTGTGGAATACCAAGTGGTCTGTGTTGTCTTCAAGAGTGAATGCAAAACATGAAAATCATTAAAATTAAAACAGCTGTCTTGTCTACCATTCATCAGGTAGCAATGATGGCACTCAGGTATTTGTTTTTGTCACATTTGTGAGTTCTTATCTCTCGGATCCATCCATTGTCTTATGGTAAAGAAATGGGGTATAGAAGGTTGCTATGGAAACTATTCTTCTTGGCAACACAGATGTGCTCCGTAGTTTGATTGGCCACTGCATCCCTGTGTCCAACGTAATGCATGCAAGTGCCATTCAAGAGCCTTTCATACACCTTCTGTAGGTAAATATTTATTCCGTAGAAACTGATAAATATGTGATGGAAACAAATACATAACATAATAGCATAGTAGAAATGGAAGGAACAGGTTTGCCCTTGATCGTACATTTGTATGAAACATAAATTATCCACTGAAAACACTGTCAAGTGTGCTTCAGTGTTGCATATGATGACTGTATTCATCACTGGACAGGTGTTTATACAGTATACATATATAGTAGGTATAGGGTTATGTAGCTGCGTGCCAACCCATATCATTTGTGGAAACGTGCATGTGGGTGATACGCTAGAATTAAAAAGTGACTGGACATGGACCCCTGTGTATTATATATCCTTAAATAACCCTTATGCTGTCAAATGGTTAGTGTTGTACTACCTGTTGAATGCTCACCAGAATAAAATACTGACTGAAAAATGTTATATTGTATAATGTCCTTCAATTCTACTTTGCATCATTTGAAAAAGTACTGAACATTGGTGAACTATCAATAAAGGGAAATTGAGCGTAATGAGACATCCATTGATTCTTCACAAACCACCACTTTGAAAAAGGTCGTACCCATTTAAATCGGAACTCAAATAACGGGCAACTTCAACCTAACAGAGCTCCTGTTTAATGTCAGTTTCATTAGTGTTATCTCCTGAATGCTGTTTTTATATTTCCAGCATTGTATCTAGACTGGCCTGCAAAACAACATTTAATGAGGAAATGATTGCTGCCATAGCTCAGTGAGGTCTTTGAATATAGAAGTCGTAGGCATGTTATAGTGATTTATTCCAATTAGTCTTTCCACAATACATACCTAACTTGTGCTATGCTGTTTATATCCTTTAAAACCCTGTCTTCTCAGCTTAAAAAGAGAAATAATACCACAATTGCATTTGATTGCTGTTAATTTGGCGGGAAAATTTAAACAAAAGTGGGATTAGAGAGCATAGACAGGATGGAAACAAAACCAGATATACAATCTTATGTATGGGCAAACTTGTAACTAGAATCTATATAACGAGACAAACTTGGGTATGGAAAACAAACCACATGATCTTTGCAACAACCTTAGCTCTGCCTCTGGAGAATTCTTAACCTCCACTGTACTGCTCCATCCATGCTTCAAAGTCTTTCTTGGACTGAAAAGCTGAAATTTGAAATGTTGACTATTGTAGAGAGGCCAATTTTGATTTGTGGCCCCTATGTCAACCCTAGTCTACATGATGGAGCATGTAAAGCCGCAGCACTCCTTCAGCAGGGTGAGGCCCGTCTTGGCGAAGGGAGAAGAGGTCTGCTGAGCTCTGGACGGCGCTCGTCTGGGTGGAACACCTGAAGCCCAGAGAAGTCATACTGTGAGAACATTTGGCAATAGTTTCCCAATACATCTTGTGGTGTACATGGAGAGTTATTAGATAACTTTATTTTTGGAAGAACATAGTTGTACTTTTCAGGTACATATTTGACAGCCTATGTTATGAAGTGAATCATTCTGCCTAATGAGTATGTTTACTTTAGGTACTTTAAGTATATTGTCATGATTATAATTTGTATCTTAAATAAAGATCAATGCATTGGTATTACTTTTACTTAAGTAAATTGCTTGATTACTTCGACCACAATTTTACGGTCTAACTCTACTAACTGCTAATCAACAAACATGTCAGCGGATAAATGATTTTAAAAAGTGGAGCGCAGAACAACAACTGTGGAACCTAAGCATACCTTTCTTCTTCATATTTTTGGGAAATTTGGAATTCAGAAAATCTGCCATTTCTTTGTCTTCTTCTTTTTCCCTGTAGAGATTGAGCAAAGGATCGATGTAAAATATACAGAAATACATAAAGCATTTGGACTACAATTTAAAGTCTTCCATCACCTTCAGATTACAAAAGAGAAGTTGGCTAGGAGTGGCTGACAGGAATTCCATGTAACACAGATATAAAGGTAAAATATCGTGTCTACTTTACACTTGCTGGCCATCTATTCCGCAGTACAGGTAACATTTAAATGTTGATTTTACCAACGGGGAGAGTTGAAAAGCTTTCTCACTGCATCAAATAATTACAGTATCTCTGGCTGTTAGAAAAGATTACATTTACTCTGAGAGGTTCTACTGATTATTCAATAAATCTGGCAGCCCCTCTCGGTCTACACAGATATATTTAGATGAGTTAGACATGCTCTGCATATTTGGGTAATTTAATATTTGTAGTACTACTAAATGTATGTATCACATATTGAATGAGTATGTTCTGTAACAAAGTGTGCAAATTACAGCAGGTCTGTCCTGCTTTGAAAATAAAACCAAACATAAAAACTACAGATGTAATTTTCTTGTGAAGGACAGTGAGGATAAAAAAAGAGAGACATTTCAAAAGAAAGATCTCTATATTTATCAGCATGGCCTTGAGCATCGTCACATCTCTCTGCGATCCATTAACCCACTGTTCTCTTGCTTCCTGCCTCTCACCTTCCCAGCAGCCCCAAAGCATTTTCACAGCATGCCGTCAGCTGCCAACACAAACTGTTGCTCACACAAACTATTGATGCCTAACGCTGCATAAGAATTGGACCTGATATACTGGTTGAACATTGTCAAGTCACATTAAGTTGCAGGTTGAGTGATGGATAAAATAACCTGTGAGAGTGTATATGCTGCATCAAGATCAACAAGTAAGTGGAGCAAAAATAAATACAGCGTTTTAAGCTCTTAATGAATGCAGGACAAAACATTTAAAAAAAAAAATACTGAACGTCTAAAACTGAAAGAGCGGTCTCATCGAAATACAGATTCAACTGCAGAGAGGCTAATTTAAACTTGTGATTATTTTATATTTCACTTATGTTTGACATCTCTGCATTAAGATAATGTAATGTCCAAGACATTGTACCTTCCTTTGAGGGTTTCCAATCCCATTGTATGAAGGGCCCTGTAGTGTTTTGCATAACTGTATAAATGTGTGGTGAAGGACTAAGAGTTTCAGAATGGATCAGTAAGGTTTGGACAGCACTATGACAACCTTTCCTCAACTCCTGCATGAACAAAGCATCAACCCCCATTAGCAGTCCTGAAAAAGTATTAAATAGATGTGTACAGTATATGTTTTTTATAAACCAATGGCAGCTCCTGTTGCAGTACTCTCTGATCATTTCTGACACATCTTTAATTGAAATGGCTCTCCATGCTCATTGGTGATATCAAAGAGTTCCTCTGGATACAAAATACTTGTTTCCCATTTATAAGATAGATAAATGGGTACAGACCTACTGTATGTGTGCACTGCATCTCTAACTAGTGGCTCTTTATGTTCAATAGGATTTTTTAATTATTCATTCACACCCTATGGTGACAGACGACCAAAGGACTCCTACCAAGCTGTAATGAAACCATAACGAAGCACACCTGAGTCTTTCAAACTCCACATCGTCCACCAGGAAGTCTCTGGTCTCAACCAGCTTGTGGATCTGCTGCAGGAGTTCCTCCTCCTTCTGCCGGTCCTCGTTGGACTTGTCATTATCTGCAGCAAAAGACATCTAGTGCTTGTCCCAAATGACTCACTTAACTATGCATATAACAAGGGTTTAACCACAGGTACTGTATAAAGATTTTTGTATGAATTGGATTTATTTGAGACATTCTGCTTTTATTCTCAATCAACCTACCTGGTATGGACACTAATTTCTGCAGATCCTTCTTCAGACGAGTGATCTCCTTGCACAGCTGAATGTCATCCATCCTGCACAGGAACAAAAGAAACACACACACATGAAAGTGCCGCACATCACATTCTGCTTTAAAGGGTAGAAAGGATTTGAAACTATATGGGAAAATGAAATTCAAACACAGAAAGATTCATATTGATGTTTTAATTCACACAGGAGATGACACAATCTTTTCTGAAGAGAAATCCCTGTGGCGTCTCTGAGCCAGAGAGCTTTCACTCAGCCTCTGTCTGTATCACACGCTTTCTCTTTCAATGGCCCTCCAAACTCAGTGGATCATTACTGACACTGAGGTGGGGTGGGAGATCACAGAGGCAGAGAGCACTCACGTGACCCAGCATCACTGCAAATGCCTCTTTGTTAGGAGAACACACAAACAGACACTCTCTGGGTCAGACACACACTTACACATCACACCCATTCATCGTCAGCAGGGAGAGCCACGTCACCATTCCTCATCTACCTGTCATATAGGAAGCTCTTTGAAGACATGTACAGTATGTGGAGAAATGGCCATGAGGTCTGGAATGATGAGCTTTAACCAAAAGAAAACACACAATTTATTTGTTTGTTTGTCTAAAACTTGGTGAAATCTGCTTCAGATCGTGACTTCCCCTCTCCTACCCCTCCACCTCCAGTCTCTCATTTACCCATCCTTTCTGCCTGACTCTTGCTTGCCATCCCACACATGCCACTCATCATATTCCCCCCGCTGTCTGAGCACCGTCTTTCAGGGGAGTGGATGAATAAATATCCATGCATTAGCCTGCTTAGTGGAAGCCAAGGTAAAGCCATTGATATTATAATGAGGGCCAGCACGAGGTGTGATGGAGATAAATGAGGAGAGATAACAGAGGGCAAAGCTGCTCCGAGATGCGTTTCTGATACCAGGGTGAGCTCTTGAATGGAAAACATAGCTTAAATGATTTGAACTGCTTTTGACTAGGGAAGCTTGAAGATGGATTTTCCAGTTTGGGGCTTGTGTGTACTATTGTTGTTTTGGCATGACAGTGCACTTTAATGACTGATTAATTAACTAAATAATGTATTTATTCAGGTTTCTCACAGCAATACACAGAATGTTGTCCCACATGTGTTATGTGTGCAGTACCAACATGTAGGTTAAGATTTGTTTTTGGTTACGTAAAGAACAAACTTGTACAAAATGACTTTCCCCTACAACCTCCCTCCACTGCCACTTTAATTGCATTCTAACACATTTGCGTTTTAAGGGAAAACCCATTTTCTTAACATTGTAAATATACACAAAAGAGACACTCAACAAAAGTACTTGGTTATGTTCATGCAACAACAACATTTGGGTTAGATTTTGTAAAAAATGGATGGGTTTGGCTTAAAGAAGTACATTTGTTCAATCATTTAAGTTACGGACAAATTAAAAGTCAACAATGACTTTATGTTTTATGCAGATCACAAACACCAGTCGCCTGTATGAAAGAAGTTTAACCATCCCATCCACCCGGACATCCTCCCTATGCAGACTTTGAGTTTGATAAGAAATGTATTTGGGAAAGATCGAAAACCAATGTAATGAAGAAGAAAATAAATTACGAAGGATAATTCACAATGCAGTTTCGTTGTACATTGGGAACAATGAACATACTTCCTGTATAGGAGAACAGGCACAGAAGCTTCTAGTTACACATTTCTCTGCACTGGCACTCCAGCAATAAACGAAATAATACACCATTCAAATATAATGTGAATTCTGGGTTGCTATTATTGAACCTGTTTGTCTCCGGTAATCACACTGGCTGCAGATGGCAGATGAAATAAACAAATGAAATCAAAGTGTGTGTGTTGATGGGCCACTCACATGTATCTGAGCTCTGACTCCCTCCTGACCAGCACGTCTCTGATCCTGTCAATCTTAAACAGCTCCCCCTCGATGTCGTCCACGGTGATGGTGGAGTCCGCCATAGACACCACGTCCTCGTCTGAGAGGGAGAGAGAAAACTTAAATAATTAAAAAGTGATCTATTCATTGAAAAAAAATACTCAATAAAGTATTCAATGTTTGAATTAAGTTATTATGTCAGCTATTTGCAGCCCCCTATTGTTTGTGAATCTGAAACACAGAAAGACATTTAAAAAAAGTCTATATTGTATTCCATTGAGAAAACAATTCAAATGACATTACTTTACTTTCCCACTCTAAATAAGTATTACTTCTGTGGCTAGTGTCTTTGTAATATACACAACGTGTGCGTGGCAGGTGAATTAGACATCATTAGAGTAAAAGTATTGGAGTCAATATTAGTTAATAGTCAATAGCATAATGAAAATGTATTTAAAGTATCTGATCAATTATGTTCAGCATGTTCAATTTATCAACAGAATGATTAATAACTATTTGCACACAACAATGAGATATTATTGAGTATAAACATTATCTCTCACTCCCAGCTGCTCTAATTTCAAGCAATTGAATAATCAGATACAGCACAGATGATGCTTTGATTGCTTGGTTAACAGTATCAAACACAATATGAGAGTATCAGTATGCACTTCATGCCACTCAACGGTCTCTGTATTTCTCATTTGAACTCTATGCTCCCAAATAAAACAAATATACAATGAAAAAGGCAAATCCTACAAAAGTGTTTGCTGCATATATCTAAGCCCTCATCTACAACAATGTGTGGGCTTGTGCCGGACAGCTCTGTCATGCTTTTGAATGAATCTGACCCAAGGTCCCTGGAAACGTTTGTGTGGTTGTTAGGGTAGGCCAAAGGTAGGACCCAAATGCAGACTTCAAAAAGGAAAAAGGTCTATAACAAAAGGCGAGCTTTATTCCAAAGCCGATGAGCACAAAAAACAAGGCATGAAAAAACATAGATAGCACAAGGTAGCGAATAGAAACAAAACTGACCGTGACTGACATGGAGGGAGACAGGAAAAACCAACAATGAACCAACAAGGCACACAGGGGAAGACAAGACTAAATACAGAGAGGGGTAATCACAAGACAAGACACAGCTGGGGTAAGGGAGGCAGAAACACAAGGGCAACAGGTGAACACAATCAGACACACCAGGGAAACTAATGACAGGAAGGCAAACACAGGAAGAAGGAACAGAGAAGACACAAGGAGGAAAACATTTCAAAACAAAAGTGGAAAATGAAAACATAAATACAAAACCGTAACAGTGGTATGAAAAGACTTCAAAGCTTTTCACACAGCGGCTGCTTTACAGTACACTGAGAGCAGCAGCAGCAGCAATACAATCAAAGGCAGCGGCATATCAAACATTTGACTGCAACCATATCCTAAAAAAGTAATTGTTTTAGCCATGCAAGAAAACATACATAAAGCACCCTGAAATCCAGCTATGGTCGGCCTTCTTGAAGGTAGTTGCAAGTTTACAATTGAGGAAAATTGCTTCCGTTCTGCTCTGTAGTAGCCTTGGATAACTGTCCCTTCCCTGCAGAGAGCAGCATACTAATACCTCCACTAACAGACAGTCCCTCCCCCTTTATATACACACACAGAGTCCATTACTTCATAGAGCTAGTATGTAATATCTCTATTCTAGTCACATTTAACCCTGGGGAAGGTAGCACTGACTGAGTTCAAAGTGCTGTGAAGACATGTCCTCTGCACCAGCGCGAAAAAAGGCAGAATAGATGTGGATCATCATAATTCAAATAGGTATTGTATGAGCTGAGGTTAGTTATAAAAGCGCCATGGTTAGCATTATGCATGCTTGCAGATAATGGACGGTTTAGAAGGACTCATGTTCCTGCTGGCATTGGAGCTTTGTTTGGGGGGTTGTAAACTGCAGTCTGTTTGTATGACAGATATACAAAAAAAAGGCTTCCTTGAGTTCAGATACATCCTCACACAGATACTCTGTTACTATGACGAATCTGGCTGACGTCAATGTAGCGCCAACACAACCTTGATGTCTCAGAGGAGAAAGAACTCAGTGAAACATTGCAGTGAGCAGTGAGTGTTAAGTGAAACTATAAAAAGACAGACGTGGAACTACCTAGCCTCTCCCATTTTTGTCGAAAGTGTAAATAAAAGTTAATTAAAGGGAATCGTATCCATAAAGTTGACATTTGTGCAAATGCTAGTTATCTTATCTTGTGTAGTCTATGTTTTGTTTTTATTGGACAACTGTGTGTAGCTTTTTTGACCATTCAAAACTTCCCTGCGGGGACAATAGCATACATCCTATCTTATTTTGTGCTAAACTAAGCTAATGGCCATTCTTACCTGTCAAGCCCAGGTTTTACAAGTCAGTAAGATAGGTAAATATCTGACAACAAATATGTACTCTTAGAACAAACTGCCAATGATTCAACGTTAAGCTTATGCAGTTGTGTGTGTGTGTGTGTGTGTGTGTGTGTGTGTGTGTGTGTGTGTGTGTGTGTGTGTGTGTGAAAAAGGGTGAATAATGAGTGAAAGAAAGAGCCACTCATTCATTCTTTTCAATCTCACCACACTGTATTCACACTGCATACTCGTTATGATTATACGTGCTGAATGATAATGTATCAGCACTAACACCTTATTCATAAAACAGATAAAATGCTGTGAAATATAACAGATAGGATCTGCTTGCTGACACAACATCAGATCACAGTCTCGAAACGCATTCACCACTTGATTTCCTGCCAAAGAAAATGAAACCTCAATCACTATGACCGGGGATTCCCATGTCGCTGACTGAACGCTGGACAGGGAGCTGAAAATGTACAACAAGGCAACATGAGTGTTGTTTAGTTTATCCTTACATTGTTAAAGACAACATGCTCTGCTGCAGAGGCTCTCTCCAGGACAGGTTATTCTGCCACTGAGCAGCTATGACTCATCACTAGACCTCTCAGAAATGTTTCCTCCTTTTCACTTTCTCCCCTTCTCTCATTCTTTTTCTCCCACACAGTTTTCTCTTTTCCATTCTCCTCATTTCACCTCATATCCCCCCGAACCCTGCACCTATCATCATACCCTGAAGATTGGGAATTACATTTATAAGCTCATTTCACAGTCTATGCTCCAGCTTCTACACTGCCATATGATGCTTTACACCTAATGAGGTAGACAACCAGTTAATAAAGAACCACCAGATTGGTGAGCAAGACACAGAAGACAAAGCATTAGGGGATGACGGAGGAATGGTTGGAGTAAGGAGTAAAGAGAAAAAACTGAAAGAGGACTCAACAGACAATCTGCACAGCTTTCCAAACGTCCCTTCTGATCAACTATTTTGTGTACATATTTCACACAAGTATATTGTTAATAACACCAGCAATGTAGAGGAATATAACTGAAATTCAGGAGGTAAAACATCCAGCCTCTCCAATGGGAGGATTTGCTACGTTTTGAAAATCATTTCAAATTGAATGCGTTTTGGCCATTAGTCTTACAAAACAGATATCTGAAGTTATCACCATGAGCTTTAGGAATTTTTGATAAATATTTTGTATCTATCTGTCTAGCATAATAGTCTTCAAAAGCAGGGATTTAGATGTCCTGCAAAGTGCCCCATTATTCATAAGTTGTGGCTGCAGGTCCCTGAGTAATTGAGCCTCATGAACACAAACACTGGCAGTACAGTACAAACACCTGTGGAGTGTTGACATTTGCAGAGCTACTGCCTGTAATGCAATTGGAACAAATACATTGATTGGTTCAACCCAGATATATATAGTAGGCTACATACATACATATATTTAAAAGATACAGTGATCCTGTTTTAAGTTCTAATGGGTAAATATAGAAGACTTGTCAATGAAGACGAAGACAGAAATAGTAGAGGTGCCATTAAATATATTATAAAATCACAGTGAATGGACAGATTAAACAGACCGAGGTAACTATAAATGTACTATAACAAAGACAGTGTAACTCCATGTAGCAAGGTTGTGGTAATAAGAACATTAGGTACAGTAAGGAGAATTTAGAGTTATCTTGTTGGAGATATGAACAACATACAGAAAGGTCACTTTAAACACAGTCAATAAATGTAATAATAGTGCATTTTTTGTTCTTTAGGTCACCTGGTTTTTTGGTGTCTTTGCTCCATTCAGTGCGCTCCAGTGAACCGTACTGGTGAGAAGATTCCTGCTTCTTCTCCATCGGTCCAGCAGCTGCTCCTCTCCTCTCTTCTTCTACGCTTCCAGTTGCGGTGGCTGGGAAACAGCGAGGGGAAACTACAGGGGAGGGTCTTGCAGTCTCAGTTTGATGCTGTATTTCATTGAGTCATCGCCAGTCACACAGCAACCTGTAGAGGCGGGGGAGCCCAGCTGTGGCAGGTGTTACTGTGACGGTAGCTCACACTGTGTTGTTGAAGCCGGGGAGATGGTAACTACACAGCGCCATCTGGTGGCCGCTGGACGCCATTACAGTAGGGGAGAGTTTAGGTCAAAGGACAACTCTTCAAAACCACTTCCTCTTCTAAGTCTGCTCAGAAGTTGATGTTTAATCATGATATAAAAAACACTAGTGTTAAGTATGTAAGTCCATTTACTAGTACTGTAGTTAAGTTTAATTTTTGAGTAAATGTTCCCTTCTACTCTTACACTTAACCTCCTTACGCCTTCACTTAAATATTGTACTTTACTACATTTAATTGATAACTTCAGTACTTTGTAGATTTAGATCACTTATTCCAAATATAATTAACAAGTATCTTGTATAACTTAAAGTTGTGAGAAATATATTGAACCCTTCATAACATTTACCAGCATCACACACAGAAAAAAACTCATCCTTTACGAGATGTAACATTAAAGTCACGAGTGCATCAATATCTATTATCCAAAAAGACCATTATTATTCTGAAATGGACTCTTCTGCATATTGAGCACTTTGACCTATTGTATTTAAAGTATAATTTGATAATAATACTTCTGTACGTTTACTTGAGTACCATTTCTGCACTATATATAAAAATATATAAAAAACATGTCTATGAAGTGTTTTGCTCAAAATACCAAACAGATCACCCATTCTAGCCATGCCCCCAGGAAGTGTGCCGGACTCTGAGGAAAATATTCGTTGTGGCCAAACGGCGGTACTACACTTCCGTATCAGTCGCTGGGCCTGGAAAGATGTTTTCTCTTTGACTAACATTGGGAAAGAGACATCTGTAAAACGTTGGATAATTTTTTTTAAACTAAATAAACTACCCAGTATCAACATTTGTATAGCCCTTATTAAAAACATTCGTTCCTCAAGTTGTAAAATGTGCTAATAACGCTATTCTGAGAGTTATTTTCCTCTGCGTTATGAACGCGGATCCAACCCACGGGACTGCGCCGCCCGGCACGTTCATGTGACGTGTTTAGTACTACATGAGTTTTACCTTTACCCATGGATGCACAATAAGAACGGATTATATGATTATATGAATACTTTCGTGACGTTTCGCTCTCTCAAAAGTTGGGCCATTTTGTCTTCATGCGCCAATGAGCAACTCTCATAGAAATGAACGAGGCCCCGCCTCCCACGCTGTATCCAGTTCTTATTATACATCCATGATTCTAGCAATGCCTCATATCCCTCTATTTCACTTCCTGTTTCAAAAGTGCTGATTTTGTGTATAAAGCTTAAAAAAAAAAAAATTGATAAAAAAAAGAAAAAAGGAGGGGGCTGAGCTCATGCGGGACCCGGCAGCTACTGTCTAAACTAAATACTGCCGTGATGAAACGCCATATCATGGATTATCAAGGATTATTTCTGAAACAGTATGGAGCTCAAAGGCTTTCTCTCTTGCCGGTTATACCACAAGGTGAGTTCCTTTTTATTTCCTGCTTCTTCACACACGTGCTCTATCCAGTACAGGTTAGCTCTGAGTGTTAGCGATGCTAATATAAATACCGACCATATTACGTCTAAAACAGTCGGGCATTGTTTCTGATAGCAACTTCCTCATAGTGCCGTGGGTCCACATTTCCGATATTAAGTCATATCGGACGCAAATCTGGATCAGCTCCGTTGTACCCCCGTTTTTAGAGATTTGGGTACGGAGGAAAAGAGAGAGGGTTTTATTTTCTGACGCTGCGTGAGTTCCCCAACACACCGGGGACACATATTTATGTATAACAGACATAACAAAAGTGCATTTTGCATGATAGGTCCCCTTTAAATAAAAGTTATAATAACTTCATCTAGTAGGCTAATGAGAATCACAACTTTTATTATAAAACACACTTTTTTACAAAACAAAATCATTTATTTACACAACTGCATTTTGATTTTAATGGCATCGTCTTTATACATGACATTTTTAGAAAAATAATGTGCAAAATATATCAAGAATTTAAAACTCATGACTTCACCCTGCCAGGCAAGCAGACACACAGACACGACACACACATGATTTTATGTTGCAGCCATTAACACTTCACTTCAGTTTCTGAGGCTTCTGACCTTTACTGCATGAAATGGTATCTTGCATAAAAATGAGTCATTCATACTTTTCGGCAAACAACAACTGGACCAACAGTTAATTTATATTTAAAGCCTCCCTCCATGACTAATAGAAAATCATACACCTATGACGTGCAAAGTAATGACATAATTACACGCATAGTTCATAACTTTAATTACCCCGTTGTTGCTCCGCTCCTACGAGGAATTATCTTTAAATGAATTGCAGTTTCAGTGCAAATAGATGCAATGTAGCACTTCATTGAATCATCAGAAACAACACAGTGAGTAAAAGGGGTTCAGAGGTGTTTTTCACACCTCAGGCTTGTGTCCAAGTTTCATATTCAATTGTCCCCCCAGGAGGTGTGTGGTACAGTGGGTTGTGTGCTGCACAGGTTCAAACCCCACTGCAGTCAGCATGTCGTTGTGTCCCTGGGCAAGACACTTCACCCCAAATTGCTCCTGTGGGGATTGTCCACAGTATTGAGTATGTAAGTCGCTTTGGATAAAAGCGTCTACAGTAACATGTAACATGTAATGTACCCAACTTTTGCTTTTCATCTTGTACGTACACTAATACTCTTGTTGGCAGTCTGGCGTCTAACAGCTACTTTTTGTGGCTATTTTTTCACATGATCACTGTCTACGAGTGATACATTGAAACACAAAATATGTTTCGGTTCAGCAGCAGTTCGTGACACTTGGATTTAGCTTTGGCACTGAACACAGTGTGGTTTCCAAATTATAAACCTACTGTAAGGCTATTGTCGATCATTCAAAACTTCATTATACACTACCTTATGTAACAGGTACGGGAATAACAAGGTATTTAAATGACTCAGCTCTCACTGTGTTGTCTTTCAACAACGTGCACATGTTAGTCACTTAAAGGCAGGTCTGCATGTCTGCTTTCTTTTGTGTGTTCATGTACTGCATGCATGTGTCTGTGTGTGTCAAGGCAATACAAGGTAGTGTGTCTATAAGGTAGAGTAATTGATACAATCAACCCCTTCAATTTTGCCTGGGGAAACAGATTTTGCAGATTGCCCCTTTAATGTATACAGGTACATACCTTTGCTAACTCGTTTCCCTGCTGGTCTCTAGTGTCACAGGCAGTGTTGTTCTTTGGCAATTTACATCTGCATGTATTGAGTGACCTTCTAAAACTATGTAAAGCAGTTAAAAAACACTGTTAGGAGTTCAATCATACACTGCTGCATGTATAAAACAAATGTGTTCCTGTCAAAGTGAACTGATTATTCCATTCCAGCAGCAAGAATTGACACTATCATGGTATGTGTTGTCTGTTATGGTTTATAGTCTTTTCCATACATTCCCGTCCCAGACTGAAACATGTTGGTTTCAGGAACAGCTCAGCATGACTCAAAGGTGATTCCTTTAGCCTTTTCATGTGTCAGACAGGAACTCTCGTATCAAAAAGGCAAACAACCATTCCTGCTATCAATCACAGTATTGTTCCGGTTGTATTTCCAAAGTTTCTCTGTGGGGTTACTCCACCATGTCAGGTTAGGATGCCAGCAAATGTGTTGATTGGAAGAGGGAGTCCTTTGCACATGTATTTGCTGAGTCCAGCGTCTTTGTCCTCTCCCAAACTGAATTTGGACCTCATGGTTTTTTGGACAGAGTATCCAGGATCAAGACACGGGCAGATCTCAATGCTACAACACAAATAACAGGGAGCTATCAGTTTGGGTTCCACAGAAAACAGGTTGAGATTCACCAAGGTTGTATAATCTAAATGAGAAATTATGAAATCAAGGTGGTACAAAGGGGCCCAAAACAGAAACATTATTCTATACAACATATAGGGTTCCCCTTCTCACCATTGCTTGTTACCCAAAGACCTTTATTAATTAGAGATCTCTTAGAACTTGCTATTGTTTTTAAGGCAATGATAGCTATCGATGATTATTTTTCTTACCAATAAAACAATAAACCTGTGTAAGACCTTTATCCAGTGTCGTATAACTCTCTTACCTCTGCACATCTTTGAAGGTCCTTCGACAATCTTTATCCAGTGTAACAGTGAAGGATCGGCTTTCCAAAGTGCGAATCTTAACGTTGCTCATCCGAATCTTGGAGTCCTGAGAATTAAAAGGATATATTGTTGTATAAAAACAAAAAAAAGTTGTTTTAACATAAACAGTCTCTCTAATGAATATCCACTAGAGATTTTTGACTCACTGTCACGTTGTTTTTAGATTTTGTCTGAGATTCATTGAATGTCAGTGTCAAACAGTTCAGATCTATGAGATAAAAGCAGAGCAAAATACGGAGCATAAGAAAACAGCAAAAAATAAACAATATATACATAAGAACATACAGATTCTCCAATGGAATATGAGTGTGAAAATACTGGACCTTCTGCTTCGTTTGAGGGGATAGCACTGATCTGAGTGCCTGATGTCCGTACTGAGATTCCTTTGTCAACGTCTCGGCCACTTAATGTTACCTACACACACATACACACACATTGCATTGATACAAAAAGCATCCTAAACATAAACAACACAATCTGAAACAGATATGTCTAAGTAATCTCACAAGGAATTAATGGATGTGAAGAAAAATACGTACCTTTTTGTAATTCAATGAGACCACAGCCCCACAGACTTCCCCTGCACTCCACTTGTGTTTCTCTGTTTGAGAGACAGGCACATTGTAACACTTGGTTGTGTACAGATACA